GCGCTGCCCTCTCTTTCCTTCTCTTTCTTGACACCACTAGAGGGTGGTTTCTCCTTTGTGCCATCCCCTGAGAGGGGCCTCCGGTTTTCCTCTTTGGAGATGGCCTTGTGGGATTTCTCTCTGCTTAAAGACAACTTCTCATCTCCCCTGGCATCCACTGGACGTTTTTCTTTAGGGGAAGATCTGTGCTCCTTGTTCTGACTCCCAGCCCCTTTCCCCTGGGGCTCGCCGGAGTGTCGTTCCTGACCGACCCCCAGTCTGTCCTGAAAGGCATTACTGTGGCCTTTTCCAGGCTTCTGGTGTGGGACAAAGGGCTCGTGGTCCTCCTCCGGGGATCTGCAGTGGCCCACGGACATCTGATGAGGACTGGCACACGATGGAGGGGACTGAACATGGCCGTAATCAGAAGACTCACGGTCTGAAGAGTAGATTGGTGAAACCCTGTAGCCCCTCTTTCTCTCGTCTCTCCTCTCCTGACTGTGAGACGCTTTGTGAGGTCGCTCAAGCTCTGCGAGTTTTCTGTGTTTCTTCTGTCTGTGGTCAGGGCTGTACGGCTGGCTGCCGGAAGCTTTCCAGTTTTCTTGGCAGTCCGTATCCTCCTCCTTCTGAGCAGCATCCCTGGGGCGCTTTCGGGAATTGCTCTTCTCAAAGTCCTGTTCATCGGGCTCAGTGTTTCGTTCCACAGGAACCAATTTCTTCCACTGGGCCACGAGGACCCTGGCAAAGCGTCCAACATGCTCGTATATTCGTAAGCTATTCACTGTTTTGCCAAGCCCGGTCTCCGCAAGAATTTCTAACGTAATAGGCAAGGTGGAGAGTTTCTTCAAATATTTCAATAGCTTCTCCGGTTCCGGGTTCGCAGCCAGGTACGCCTGCAGCTTCTCCGCAACTTGGAAAGCTGACTCCGCCGCCATCGCTGGCGCTGGCGCGGCCTCCTCACCGGAACTGGGCTCGCGTCGCGTCCTCGGGCCGCAGCTCCGCCCTCCGTGCATCCCCGGCAGAGACGGAAGCCCGACTGGCCCCTTCCGGGCCTGGGTGGGGTTAGGGTGCGCGGGGCGGGGCGCAGGGCGCGGCGTAGGGCGCGGGGATGGAAGGGCTGCAGGCCCTGCCCCCGGGGTGGGGGACAGGGTCTGGATGTTTTTATAAGGTTCCATTTAGGGCAACATTTCTGGGGCATATTTTACATTAATAGTAATAAGTATCAATTACTTTTGGATTTGCATAAATAATCTTCCATTTAAAAAATGATATTGTTAGTGGGAAATTATAAATCCTATAATCACATAATCAATTATAGCCAGGTCAGTCACACAGGTTGTCTTAAAGATGTTTCCAGTTAAAGAAAATCTTAAATTCTTTATTTGAAAAGGTTAATGTTTTAGTGGTCTGGACTTATTCTTGAATTCTGAATGCAAGCAAACATCTTAAGGAATAAGTGTTTCCATATTCAGTGCTGCACAGAAGGTATTTCTGGAATTTGTATTCAGAATTAGGAACATTGTCCATTTGGCCAGCATGTCAACTTCAGATTTTTCCTAAGTTGATATTCAAAAATAAGCATGTTTATTGTTTGATGCGTTCTTCCTTGACTTTAGGATCCTGAGAGAAGCCACTTTGTCCTGATTGCTGGGGAGCCATTAAGAGAACCAGTTGTTCAACATGGTAAGCCCAAAAGACATGTCCCTTGAAATCTCAGTTAATGAGAAGCAAAGTGTTGTTGTTTTGTTTTTGTTTGTTTTTTTTAACTTTTTTAAACCCAGACATTTAAGTTATTCTATTACCTGTTTATGTTTAAAGATAGCCATAACCATCTTTTGACTATGTGGGAACCACATTAGTTTAATGAATTAGCCAAGGCCTTAACTGTGTGTCCACAAATTAAACATAGGATGTCATAGAATGTTGGAGTAGGGACTGTCCTTAGTGTTGATGTCCTCATGTCCCTTTTATGAATGGGGAAAATGAAATCTCGATATTTGACATACTTACCAGATCCATTGGTAGCATTTGCTGTTTACTAGGAGTGGTCAAGATGCTTTCCAAATATTAATTCATTTAATCTTCAAATCAACCTTATGCAGTAGGTACTCTCCTCCCATTTTTCAGACATGGAGGTACAGGTGCAGAGTTGCATTGGCTTGCCCATGGCCACATAGCTAGATTCACACTCAGGCTGTCTGGTTTCCAACCACCCTGCCCCTTCTTGCACAACGCCGGTTCCCCCTCACTCTGCCCTGTGGCTTGTCTGATGGGACACAATTGTTGGTAGTGGAGCTGGGGTTTGAACCCTAATTCTTGACCCCATGTTTTGTGCTCTCTCCACTATACCAAGGTTCTACATCATAAGGGCTTAAACTCATGCCAGTTTTATTACTGAGGAGGGAGTTCATAGGTTTAATTAAAGAAGAGGTGAAAATTGTAGGTTGAAAGAGGATTTATGGGATTAGCAATAACTATCAAATAATTTTCTTGTTTATAACTCTTAGAGTTGATCAATTAAAAACATATGCTTTCTGGGGGGATGTAATATACAGCATGGTGATGACAGCTAATAATACTATATTGCATATTTGAAAGTTGCTAAGAGAATAAATCATAAATGTTCTCATCACAAAAAAAATTCTGTAACTATGTAAGGTGATGGATGATAACTAGATATTGAGATCATTTTACAATGTGTACAAATATCAAATCATTATGTTGTACACCCGAAACTAATATAATGTTGTATGCATATTATACCTCAATTAAAAAAATAATAAATTTGGTAATATAGTATCCAAAAAAAAAAGGACATAAGAAAAAGGAAAAAAATCAAAACAAAACATATGCTCTGTGGTTTCAGTTTTCTTCTCCTTCTTGAGAATTCGAGGAGATGAGCTTACTTAGCTAGGCTTTGGAGGACTCCACGCATCCAGTGGTTACCTTATTTCTCCAAGTGTGGTCCATGGACCAGCAGCATCAGCATCACTCAAGAGCCAGTAAGAAATGCAGACTTTCAGACTCTACCCTGGACCTCCTGAATCAGAATATATGTCTTAATAAGCTTCCCACATGATTCATGTGCATAAGAACCACTGCAGAATAATCCAGAAAAATGTCAGAACGAAAGCCCAGAAGTGCAACGTCTTTACAGAAAAATAATTAGGGTACAGGAGAGGTGCTCCACAACTCCAAGCAATAGCAAAGCTATGACATGCAGGAAATCAGACCCTGGCCCAGTACCTGCTTTCATTTTCTGAGTTCAATTCCCTTTTCTCTGTGTGGCCTTTAAAAAGCTGGCTTCTCCAGGATGCCATCTTGGATTTATTATTTATTTCACATATGAGGGCTCTGTCCTTCTTTCCTTTCTGATGTAGTCCAAATCTCCATCTCCAGATGAAATTTCTCTCATGAGCCCCAGATTTCTATTTCCAACAATGTATTAAGCACCTCTGCCAGGAAGCCATTTTATTGTCTCCAGCACCTTCATGTCAGAATACCCAGCATTGAGCTCCTTGCTGTACTCACAGCCTCCTATGTCCTGTATCTCAATTACCCTTAACAATTCCACCATCAGCTCAGCTTCCCAGGCCAGACATTTTCTCTACCCTGATGCCAAATTCTTCAAAAACGGCAAATCAGATTACATTGCTGTCCTGTTCACCTGCAGTACTGCATCCACACTTCTTCGCGTAGGTGGGATCCGAAGCCCAGAGGAGTCTGGCCTCTTCCTACATATCAGATTCCCCTATTCCCTTCCCCCTTCGATCCCTCCTCCTGGCACTGTGCCCATATCCTCAATTCCTCCAGCATGCTAATCCTGAAAATGCCTTTCCTCCATATATGCCTGTTCAAACATCGCCTCCTTTGTGAAACTTTTCCTGCATCCTTCCTCCCCTTTCTGTACTGATTCCATAGATTTTACATACTTTTGTCGTTCCATGTATTACACCCTTTTAATATTTTGTTTTCATATTGGTGCGATAGAGTTGAGATCCTTGGGGGGAGAGAGTCTGCCAGTCACCTCCGGCTCCTAGCACAATATCCTTGAATAGGCACTCAATACATACTCAATAGATAGGTAATTGAATGAATGAATGTAGATGCTTTCTTCCTGTTCTCCCTTTGTACAACCATCCTATTCCCTGCAACCTCCCAAAAGGCCTCAACATCATCAAAGCATATTATCCTTCTCAAGTGTTAAAATGAAGACCAAATTCCTGCTGACATGATAACAATGGTTAAGAAATTCAAATGTGTGATTCCCTCCAAGTAACAAAGTTACGTTTCAATCTGAGTCTCTCAAGAGAAAGCCCCTTAGAGGAGGAACTTCCATAAAAGGAATGCCAGGAACCTCTGCAGATTGGTAGAAGAAATGTACTGAATGGGAAAAAAATCCGTCAACTGCTTTTAAGACACTGCCAGCGCCAGAGAGGAGCTGGCCTTGTCATCCAACAGATTGTTGGAGTGGCACAGTCCCGGACAGGGTCCCGTTGCCCCTACAATGTGTGAAGCAAAGGGAAGAATCAGACACTTTGCCTCCTGGTAGATTAGGGGAAGGCTTCTACACTTTTACCAGAACCCGATTCAAACCTAGGAATTAGACAAAGGGGCCAGCAAACTCTGACCGGGGCCAAATCTGCCCACTGCATGTTTTTGTAAGGAAACTTTTGTTGGAACATAGCCACGCCTATTGACTTTTGTATTGTCTGTGGCTCCTTTTGCTCTTCAGCGAAGAGTTGAGTAGTGGAGACAGACGGTTTGACCACAAAATCTAAAATATATATTGTCTGACATTTACAGAAAAAGGTTGCCGGCCTCTAGAGAATCACAAATATGATGCTTTCTTGTCTTGAAATTTTTGTAATCTCCTGTGTATTGTCAACAAGCTGCTACTAATTTTCAAAAATTACTTAGACCCCCCCCCCATTTGAGTACACAGTCTCATATGCTGTGTAGGCACCAAATTAGGATGAGATTTGCCAATTCTTTGCATCAGATTGGTTCAATTCTTGACATCAGCGAGTGCTGTAAAACGAACTACAGTAAATCTTAAAAGTTCTCATTACAGGAAAAAACTGCGGTAACTATAAATGGTGACAGATATTAACTAGACTTTTTGTGGTAATTGTTTTGCAATATATACTAATATAAAATCATGTTGTACACCTGAAACTAATATAATGTTGCATGTTAATTATATCTGAAAGAAATAAGGAAGGAAAAAAACCCAAACAACTACAAAAATGGTTGTAATACAAGCATACCTAAGAATGTATTGAATAAAGAAATTGCCATTGTTGATGACACCTGCAATAGATGAGTGACATAAAATTGCCTTTGTTGATTTGAAGTTTGGTCTTTATAATTATATACAATCCTAGTCAAGAAACTTGTATGACAGTCCTTGGGGATGGGACCCTGTGAAAATGACCTTTTAATGTTCATATATTCCTGGATGTGTTTCAAGTTAAGAGCTACAGCAACACATACCAGTTCTAGTTGTAGAAGAAAATATTCTCATCACCCAGAAGTTTCTGAATGTCTCTTTCTGCCTTAGGTCCATTTGTGATGAACACCAATGAAGAGATTTCTCAGGCCATTCTTGATTTCAGAAATGCAAAAAATGGATTTGAAAGAGCCAAAACCTGGAAATCAAAGATTGGAAACTAGTGAAGAGCACAAGAGCGGGTCTTGATGCTTTCTAGAATTTTGCCACTTGCGGCATCCATCTGTTCAGTGCATTCAATTTCCAAAGCTGACTTAGCCGGTGCTTCTGAAGAATTCCACACTAAAGTGATAGCACGGTTTTTATAGCAATGCACGTGAGATAAATTCCTGGCACATGCAAATAAACCTAATTGTTGCTTCTTTAAAAGTCAGTGTTCTTCATTTTGACCCAAGTGACTAAGCTTCTGTTACAAATATCACTGTGTATGTTTGCTTTTCACATGCGTGTAGATATTTTGTTATTTTTGTGCATGAGTGAATTTTTTAAAGCATATTCCAT